CTGATTTAAATCAACCCAATCCTGGTTTTCAATTATGAAAAAAAAGTAAATTGAGAACTGTTTTATTTTACAGTGACAGGGGGGAAAGCAGACTTTTAAGCATGATTATATTAGTCTACTAAACCTTATATTGTTTAATAAAACCAAGGAAAGGAATTCTGAATGTTTAAATATGTAAAAACTGAATACATTTTTTTGAAAAGTGATTTAAATACTGATTTTTTTTTTAGAATCAAGTTGATTAAAATTAAAAAAATCTACTGATTTACATCAACCTAGCTCTGATTTCAATTATGGAAAAAAAAAAGTAAATTGAATACTGTTTTATTTTACAGTGAAAGGGGGGAAAGCAGACTTTTAAGCATGAATATATTAGTCTACTAAACCTTATATATCTGTTTTATGAAACCAAGGAAAGGAATTCTGAATGTTGAATAGTGAAAAACCGAATAAAAATAATTTTAAAAAAAAGTGATTTAATTCACTGATTTTTATTTAAAAAATCAAGTTGACTTATATTTAAAAAATCAACTGATTTAAATCAGCTTGATTTAAATCAACCCAACCCTGTATGAGCACATTAATTACAATGGCATTTCTCTCCCATCCTGACTCTAAACAATACCCATGAGTAATTAGTCATTGTATAGTGACTCCCAGCACCGTGTGCCACACTGCATGGCAATTGTCTGCACGAATGAGTTAAGAACAACACCTCACCTGAATGCACACGGGTCGGTAGCTACGAATGTCCAAGTACTTGAGGTGTGACGGGTATTTCTCAAACAACAGCTTCCTGATCTCGCAGTTCCACGTGGTGTTGCAGTATTTCTTCAGCTAAGGTAGAGAAACATAGTTCACAGGGTCAAGTGAAAAACAGTCCAAGTCACATTAATCCTACCACGTATACTATTTTTCACTTTGTAATGATGGACTTGGCTTGTTTTAAATTCCTATTATGATAAAAACCTATTTTTCACTTAACAAAAAATAATTATGGACTTGGTTTGTTTTTAACTAAGAGGTTTGCGTTTTATAAAAATTCACTTTGTGAATAGCATGCTTTTCACTTGATGGATTGATTTCATAGGCATTTTTTACAGGTACTGTTACAAGTTAACTCTTTCCGCCCGGAGTGACTACGCACGAAAGCAGTTTCCGTGAAAGAATGACTCAGTCGTCGTTTCTCGTATGGTTTTATCAAACAGTTCCTACAGCTAGTTTCAGCGACATTTTGCTAATCGCGAATGTATTTCTGTCAAGACCGGAACCTGCACAGTTAGTTTACTTATTAGTCAGCTTTTTAAAGTGAATTTTGCGTAGTTCCTTCTTTAGTCTGCAGTGTCGATCAAAACAAAGCAAACCCATTTGTTTGCAATAGCAACTATGGCTTAAGGCAACGGTTCAAACAAAACGAAAGCGCCGTAAAGCTTTTCGCTGGTCGATGTGACTGATATAAGCTTTTTTATTATGATTACATTGTCAGCCACACAGACTTAAACTTCAATACTAATTTCCAACTGGTCAGATTAGCAGTGAGGATACTGACAACAGGGATGAAACTTTGACCACACATTGAGTGAGCTCCGTACTCTATCAGGGGTTATACGTGAATCATGCATTAGATATAACCTGCCCACAAAGTCTATACTCTAGTACTGGCAATGTCAACAAAGCTGGTACAACTGCTAGACTCTAGTACTAGATTTATTTCAGGGATAGAATTAAGAGCTGATTGCAGGTCTAGTTCTACTATCAGTGGATACTGGGTTGTGGCTGACAGTAGCAGCTCGAGCATTATTTCAATTTCTCCAAATCATTGAACAAGATCTGTTCTAGAATACCTACATGTGTGGTATTAAAAGAAAGGTGATTTAATAAACATTTCTGTTGAACATCAGTCTGTATTTCATGGGTAATGGTAATAGCAAGCTGGAAAAAACCTCATCAGACCAGCCAATTTCATTGTTTTTCAGGTATTATTATTCTCCTTTATTGCGTAATTGCTCTTACATGATTATAACACAATGAACCATGCAACCCATCAATTACCTTTCCAGTAGTATCAGATAAATATACTTTCATTGAAAAAATATGACAGCAAAATCAATTTGAATAAGGTACCCTAATGTAATTTTCGCTCCTGAGAAAATTAATTCAGACTTTTTGGGAGGGTCAGTGGGAAAAAATTTCGGGTGCTAAGAGTTAAGGGCCAGTACCCCCGATACTTTCTAAAAATGGACGTATCCAGTTTTTCATTTCACTTGACCCTATCAGTTATGTTCAGGGACAGAGCTAGCAGCATTTCATTACAATACCCTGTAACCAATACAACTTGGATAAGAGGTTTTTATTTGCTTTTACAGTGGAACCTGCTTTCCTGGACACCTGTGCAAACGGCTACTCCCCCGCCCCCCAATGATTTTTTAACATTATACTGACACTGTGTAAGATGCCCCACCTGTCTAAGACAGCCATTTTCTCCGACCTTGCCAGTGGGTGTCCACCTTGGACAATTTCGACTGTATTTAAGACTTAGCTTCCCACTAGCCATTCACGGCGCTGCCTGAGTGAGGAAAGAGCAGACTTCTTTCGTTAGGGGGTGAGTTTGAGCAAAAAGAAGCACATCTTACCAAGACAAGCTCGGAGGAGGAGAGATCAAGGTCGTACACCACCAGCTTATAGTTGGGCAGCAAGTTGTACACCGACCGCATCAACACCGCTGCTTCCTCAAAGTGATCGGGTCGAGCCCCACTGGCGATCACAGGCAGGCCGGAGGTCATCTTCGGGGATGGGAGCACCTGGTCAGCTGAAGAGTCAAGGCCGCTGGGAGCTGCCGGAAGACCTGACGACGAAGATTTGCCTGGCAAGAGAGCTCCGCTGAGACGCCCAATGCTCGACGAGGGAGCAAGTCCGAGTCGCTGTAGGTACATTGGATCCACCGTGAGCCCTTTGTCTGAAAAATTACAGAAAGAACTTTCAACAATTTGAAATGTAAGTCTTTTATGCCCAATTCATACTATTTCGGAGGCTGGGCAACCCAGTCTGAGAAGAATAAATTTCCAGCAGAAAGGACGAGACAATTGATAAAAATTTCTCCTACTTAGGAATCATACTCAGGTCTTCTGTGTGCAATGGTGAAGAGCCTAACCACTACAACACAGATGTCAGTACAGAGGAGAAGCAAGTGTACAAAACAGGTCTTTTTAAGACTTTAGTACGGACATGACAACAGTTATATAGCGGAGGGACAAAGCAAGACAGATAGGCAGACAGAACAGAGGGAAATATAAAAAATTGGACCAAGCAGTGGAACCCTCAAGCCACCAGACAACAGATGTCACTCTGAATGCACAAGGAGATGACGATAGCGAACTCCCAACCACAGAAAGCCCACTGTGTCTTCTTGAGTCTACTTGAATAGAATCTACGAATTTTGATTTATGCATACCACGTCAAAGTAACTCGAACTTCCGCTAGAGGGCCAATAAATATTGTCTCTCTTTTGTATTCATGGCTTCTTTCAATGGACTTCTTTTATGGCAATGGCAATTCATAAAAATAACCCTTTGAACCTTTCTCCCTGAGCTGAGTCAACACCTGAGCTCCTGTAATGAAATTGTGGAAGTTTTGCCTTCTGTTAACTCAGTATCACGCTGGTCCATGGAGTGCATGGCCCTGGTTCAAATCTGCAACTAATCATTCTTGAATTCGGGTTGTTTTATGGAGTTTTCAAGGCTCTCAACGCTATTAGTTTCGGTCTTATCAGAGATGGATGAGAAATTCAGAGATCCTGACTCTATAACCTAACAGTACTGAAGGGGGCGTTGAACGCATACACTTACTGAGCTACTGGGCTGGGCATTGACTGCTAGCTACACACACAGAGGCATGTATTGTGTGCACAGACAGGGAAAGATATGCCCTCATGTCAACTGGGTTCATAACGGACAACAGATATATACAATGACTAGAGGACTTGCCTTCCACCTTCATGTTAGCTGGCAGCCTCCGGAGGCCTGACTGTGTCTTGGAGACGATGCCCTGTATGCTGGGAGAGGAGGGATAGGAGAGAAACCATACTGAGACGCTGGACACTATGATCAAGACCAGGATCATAGAAAAGTTCTTGGTCTTCATCCGGTCGAGTGCTGAGCGCCCGTTCATCTGGCTGAGGGGAAGCTAGCAGTAGCAGCAGCGACGGGAGAGCCTGAGCGGAATCAACATCTACGACTTTGGACTATCTGTTGGCGGGAAAACAGTTGAAGACTGTTAGTGTTAGTCGGAGAAAAATATTGAGTTATTAAAAAAAACGAAAAAGACTCCAAACAAAACCCCCAAATCTACCAGAATCATGCTCCAACCATTGGCCCACCCACTGTGACAGTCCACACAAAAATCTTTTGGAACAGCTGTAGCAGACTTTACTGACCTTGCTGACCTAGTCCAAGTCCTTTGCTTTTTCTTTTGGTTTCCAAACTGATACAACATAACTGCAATGGCATTGACAGGCTATCTGACTCTAAGTAATTAATATTCAGTCAACAAACATAATGCTAACCTATGATAGTGATAAGGCACCATGACATGTTACATAAAAAAACCCACAAGTTATCGTCATGACAGTCTTAGAAGGCTGACAGAATTGAATGCCAAAGAGGAGGTTACTAACATGTATATCGTGGCATCAGAACTATTTTGTCAAAAGTGTACTTAAGTAAAGCACTTTGGACAAAATAGTTCTGCGGCGATGATATATTAATGTTTGGAAACTTCAAACTGTCAAAAAAAAATAAACAAATGGATTATATTATTTCCACTCTGTAAATACCAGCTCCCCATTATGATGACACAGATCACAAGAAGGATTAGATGGTCACCTCTACTTTTTCTCCCAAAACAGACATGCTGCATTGTTTAAAAAAAAAACAAGAGGTCATGTAGAAAATTGTAGGGAAGGTTTGTAAGAAGGGAATTAAAAAAGTTTTAGTAAGGCTTTTACGGCACTTGCAACTGCATAAGGTCATAAGAAGGAGGGAATTACAGCTGTCTAATTTACATTGAATAAAAGAGATGCAACAAGAGGGAATTAAAAAAGTTTTAGTAAGGCTTTTACGGCACTTGCAACTGCATAAGGTCATAAAAAGGAGGGAATTACAGCTGTCTAATTTACATTGAATAAAAGAGATGCAACAAGATTTTTTCTCAATCTTTGAATACAGAATTAATTCCTGATACTGTCAAATTTTCTTTTATATGTTAAAATACACACGCACCCCCATAACACACACTTACACTGTAGACACATAACTAGTGGTAGGACACTGTGGTAATTCCTATGATTCAAAATCACAATCCATGTGAGCCATGGCTATATTTTACTATTCCACAAAGCAAGGTGTGCACAACCCAAATTGAATAAATTGCCATAGCATCACTTCAAAAGTTGCCCACTTTACACACAATCATATGATTTAACATGTATCCACGTTTAAAATTCCCAAACACTGTAGGTTCCCAAAGAAGATAAATTATTTCCAAGAAATGGACGCAGCCCCAACGCAAGTTTAATGTCCTTTCCAATACAGTAAGTCATTACAAATAATGAAGTGTAGGAAAGCTGGAATTGAAGACATCAACACAACAATAAAAAAGAGAAGATGGAAATATCTGGGACATGTTCTGAGAATGCCAAAGATGAGATTGTCGTTTCAGTTTTAGTTTTAGTAAGAGTTTTTACACATGGTTATCAGACATGGCTTTGGAAACGCAACTGGGAAGAGAAAGTGGGGAAGACCAGCTGGAAGCTACAGAGGCACAATAAGAGATGAGGCAATCGTCCAGGGTATAGATGTGCCAAAATTAGAAAAAGTGGCCCGGAACAGACATGCTTGGCGTTGAGTGCTCTCCGCCTTATAATGTACCTGAAGGTATGGGGAGAGAGTAAGTAAGTTAATACAGTAAGTTCTAAATTTAAATTAGGCAGGATCTGTGCCATCTCCAACAGGACCAAGAAAAAAATAAAATGTATGAGTAGCGAGTCTTGAAAATTCCCTACAAGCCAAGTGTATAGCTGACAACTTCTCAAAACCCAAAAAAATGAGATTTTGCATACGCAGCAGGTTAAGATGGCTGGCAGTGGACAAGCAAGTCCCGTCCAAACCCTTCTCACACATTTCCTGCATTTAAAAAATTCAAGCTCTTCAAAGCACACCTGCAACAAAGTCAGAAATGTTCAGTAAAGGTCTCGCCAACTGACTTAGATTAGTTTCATTCTCATTATTATTATTTGAAAAGCCTTTTCATGAAAGATAATGACTTTTCTTCTGCGTCGGAAAGTCCATGAGGAGCAATACTAGAAAACAGAAAATATGCATTTCTGACACAAAAATTTACTTACACTCAGACCCCAAAAACTTACTGTTTATATGTTTTTCATGTACTGGTTGGCAAGCTATGAAAGTTCAAAAACATCCTAAATGGCAGATTTGAAGTGAGGATATTAAAAATTCAGTCCAATGAGATACCAACTGAAATAACAACACACACTCCTCTGAACACCACAAACTGAGCTCTATCATGAGAAGTTTCAGTTCAAATTACTAAGGCTAAAAAAAATGACTATCTATCACAAAGAACACTGAAAATTCAAATTTCCACAAGATAACTTTCCGGAACCCCCTCCCCATTTTAAACTTACATAGATGCGCATTCAGTAGTTCTAAAAATTCTTTTCACAATTCCACATGGAACCGAAGAGAAACTTAACACAACACTGTCACACAAGTTAACTATACCATAATATATATCACCCCCCTGCTTTATTAAGACAATAATTGTATTTCGAAAAGGAAGTCAAAGAAACAAATTGGGCTACTTTAAATCAATGAGTAAGTAAACGCACTTGTATACATATCACCAAACCCAATATCAAGTTTTCAGTTTCTTTAATTAACCACAGGCAACAGCTGTGGCAACAGCTGTATGGAAGAAGCATACAGGACTCGTTTTGTCCCCTTTAATGAAAATTTTAGTAAATCAATCTTATTTTTGTTCTTTTATAGAAATAACTTATTGTGGTTCACTTGAGCCCCCGACATTCACTCTACTCCAGAAGCTTTCGATGGAGACCTTCTTTCTTACTGTGGCACTGACAGAACTATTCTGTCTAAAGTGGGAATCTGGGTTTATTCTCCAAGAGCACTGAGATACAACTTTTCCCACCTGTCCAAAAAATAAAGGTGACAGGCAATCTTATGATAGAGGCCTATTTCCTCTAGTTCAGGCCTGCCAACTACTCCATGACTAAAATTAGGAATTTTCCTCAAAATCCTCATCCAAATTCGGAGTTCGGAGGAAAAAAATGGGAGTTTCTCTATAAAACAACCCCAATAGATTAAGTATCATTATGACAATGTTACAAACCAAAAGTAGCAAACAAACATGTATCATGTATACCAAATACAGTAGTCTCCGCCTAAGACCCCAGTGCTCTGGAGCAAAGAAAATGAGGTATATCTTAGGCAAATCATGAGATCTTGGCTGACGGGAAGTTAAAATTCAGATTTAAGATACTCTACAAAATCTAAAACCTTCATGCACCAAACCTACTTCATGGCCTCAAGTTCACTTTTCTTCTTCATTCTGCTTCTGCCTGTGTGATGTGAACAATCCAAGTTAAGTACCCAGTAGTAAGACATCAGCGGTAACCCATCAGGCTCACTAGGAATACTTGTATTGAATTGTGAACCATAAATTCACTAGAGATGAGTAAATTACGTTGCCCACTTGACACTTTACAGGGCTGCCCCTGATTGGTCCAAAGTGTTCAAATCACTCTAGGCAATTAAGAATAGTGTGATGATTTTATGTAGTTCAATAGAAACCATCATTAATTAATTATTATTATTTCTAAGACTTAATTTGTAACGAAAATAAAGTCAATGTTTGTGTAAAACGGATATAAAAACAAAACAAGAAAAAGGTTTGACAAAACCTGAGCATGAGACAACTGTAGTGGAAGTAAAAGAATACGAGGCAAGGGTTAGGATTAGGTCCCTTCTTTATTGTGTTTGTAGGGGTGGTCCCTCATTGCAGAAGTCCTTCCAGCCTTCCACAAATAAAATTCATCATCAATTGTAACCTCCTGAGCCAAACTAGATCTAATTCTAGATTCTACTAACTAAGCCTCTATGCCATAGTACATTCACAGCATGAGACTATTATGAGAAAATAATCTAGTATAGATCTCTCAACTGCTGCTCAGGAGAGCATCACACTCCACACACAATCAGTTTGAGTCACACAACATTGTTTGTATTGTTGACAATCAATGTTCAGTAGTAGATCTAGATCTAGCAGTAGTGACAGCCAGCTCTATTCGGATTCCAGTCCAATTATATTTTTTTTACTGATTCGGACTCGAGTCTAAATATGGGTTTTATCTATTCGGACTGTTTTTTTTAATCATAGTTTTTGCTTTAGACTTTAGGGGTGACTAAAATGCAAAATAAGTTACTGCCAAAGTCGAGTAGTCTTGTTTTCTCGCAGTACCATTTTCAAATGGAGTATAGTCTGAGAACTTTGCCGTACCACAATTGAAGTACCTGAATATTCAGACACCTAAAAATATCTAGCTATAGAAATTGAATTCAATGCAAAAAAAAAAAATGCTTCGTCCAAGTCCTTCCAGAGTGGCAGAACTAACGCGCCGAATTCTCCCAATATAAAAAAAAAATCTCGAGAACGGAAACCGTTCTGAGAAATAGGGGTCAAGTTTATTTTCCCGAGCGTTTGGAGAAATAGTAACTCCGAAAAAAAAAAAGTTTTAATTATTCAGACTCCGCTTCTGATGAGTTATAGTTACGCGAGTGTAAGGAGGTTACATTTTATATGTCGTCAGGGGATTTTACCTGAAACCAAAATTAGAACTAGAATCACCTACTAGAGACTGTGTAATTGTGTCAAGAGTCAAAAGACTGCACTCTCATTGCCCAATGGCAGTGTCTATGTACACGGTAACTGACAACTCAGGGCCTTTCCACCACCACTACAGCATCATCATTACTTCCACCACTATTTTTGTCTTCTCACACGTTGAATTGCATTTTGTTGTGTGTTATAGTTTTTCTGTGATATTTCTTTTTAAAAATCACACTGCACTGACAGCCATGGCCTCTTCCCCCAGCAAACCGTGAGGGCGAGATCGCTACGCGCAATCTCTTTGGTCCACATAATTAACTTT